CCCCAAAACCCCAAAACCCCAAAACCCCAAAACCCCTATAGGGAAGAAGAAAATTGATAAAAAATTATTCTAATATCTGCTCTAAAATTCTTCATTTATGAGAAAAATAACTATTTCAAGCAAAAACTGTCAATTTGGTTAAAAAGGAAAACACATCAAATTCATTGATATATTTTAGTAAAATTATAGAACTTAAAGTCCTCTAAACATTCTCAGGCAGCTCAATGTCGTCTTCTTCTTGTCATTTGTTCGATGTCTTGGCTTCCTCAGTAGCTTTTATCTTCGACCCATTGATTGACAATAGGATTCCAAGACTTAGAATTCCGATTCCAATGAACGTTTGAAACCCAGGGATCTTGTCTTGGCCAAGTATGATAGCTGTGATTTCAGCGAAATAAGGCTCGGTCAAGAAAAATACAGCAACAATGTCTAGTGTCCAATACCTGTATCATTCAAGAAGCGAATAATTTACTAATATACCTGTCCATGGTCATATAAAAAGAAACATCATCATAAATATCCACGGATCCGAGACCCAACCAAAGATTCCAAACTCTGGGTCAAAACTAAAGAATAGGGGATTCTCATCAAAATATGGATAGGCTATGATCTGTAAGATGAAATTTCCTACAAAGATATGCAGCAGGGCTACTTCTTGAGGGTTATCTCTTCTCATCTTGGTCGAAGTTATGCCATACAATGCTCCTCCTAAAGCTCCAATTATGGCAATCAAGTTTCCCAATGGCTTGTTCATTTCCTCTCCAATTTTGTTAGCCAAAGGATCGCTTAGCATAATGACTGCTCCGATGCCATATATTATGTAACCAATGATTTCATATTTATGAACATACTGGCATGTAAAAATTGCGATCAAAAGAATAAATACTCCATTGCTACAATAAAGTACATCTGCATGAGCAGTAAGAGTATATTTACACCCAAGCACAAGTCCAAATCACCAAATAGACCCAAAAACAGCCATCAACCCAGCGCTTGCCAAGTTATAAACTGATGAATCTTTTAATATTTTCTCCCTAAAACGAAAAGTTAACATCTCTAACTATTTCTCAAAACCTTACCAAGTTTTTACCCTTTGATCCTCACTAATTCCACATCCTTCCTTCTCTCTCTTCCTACTCTCCCTGACATAACTCCCTATGCACCACAGAGCCATCAATAATATGCATCCCTGACATCTCCACGTAATAGACACATAAGGACTTTTGGCAGGAATCATCAGAACGATTGGGCCGATAGTGGCTGAGCTTAGGATGCAGACTGCTAACCACAAGGCGCCGATCATAAAGTCTTTCTTAGACCTAAAGGCGATCCTGAGGTCTTGCTCTTCGACAACAGCTGTTGCTGGGTGGAGTCTGATTATTGAAGAATGATGGGACATATCTAGGAGATCGTGGTTTGAGAGTAAGTGGGAATTAGAGTGGAGTGAGTCTATAGTTTTAGAAAAATGAATGTACTGTTTAGAGGATTTTGTAGACTTGATTTCATAGTTTATTATTTTACAAGACATCCCAATTTTTAAGAAGCAAAAAGGGGTTTTGGGGTTTTGGGGTTTTGGGGTTTTGGGGTTTTGGGG